TAAAACTTCCTTTACTCGCTCCCTCCAACCTCCCTATCCCCGCCTTCCTTCTTTCCCCTACAGATTTATACGCTCTCCAAGTAATTCTACTTTGTTCCATTCCCTCCACATGATCAAACCACCTCAACAACCCCTCTTTCGCCCATCGACTAATACTTTTATTAACTCCACACCTCCTCCTAATTTCCACTCTGCATAATATTAACACCACACATTGTCCTTACACACATCTCCACTGCCTCCAGCCTCCTCCTTGCTCCAGCATTTACAACCCATGCTTGACACCCATGTAAGAGTGTTGGTACCACTATACTCTTGTACATTCCCTGCTTTGCCTCCATGGATAACATTTTTTTTTGTCTCCACAGATACCTCAAAGCACTACTCACCTTTTTTCTTTCATCAATTCTATGGTTAACCTCATCCTTCATAAACCCATCTGCTGACAAGTCAACTCCCAAATATCTGTACACATTCACTTTACTCATATCTATGTTCACTTTCAACTTTCTACCTTTACACATCACGATTGTTACTGTTTCTAATACATGGCTCAGTACCAGGACTGTCTTTTTTTTTTTTAACACATGGACCGTTTCCCACGAGGCAGGGTGACCCAAAAAGAAAGAAAAAAAACTTTCATCATTCAACACTTTCACCATCACTCATACATAATCACTGTTTTTGCAGAGGAGCTCAGATACAACAGTTTAGATGTCCCTCCAAACTGCCAATAGAAAGTGCAGGCACTGTACTTCCCATTTCCAGGACTCAAGTCTGGCTAACCAATTTCCCTGAGTCCCTTCACAAAATATTACCCTGCTCACACTTCAACTGCTCATCAGGTCCCAAAAACCATTCGTATCTCTTCACTCCTATCTAACATGCTCGTGCACGCTTGCTGGAAGTCCAAGCCCCTTGCCCACAAAGTCTCCTTTACCCCTTCCCTCCAACCTTTTTGAGGACATCCCCTACCCCGCCTTCCTTCCCCAACAGATTTACACGCTCTCAAAGTCATTCTACTTTGTTCCATTCTCTCTAAATGATCAAACCACCTATACAAATCCTCTTCAGCCCTCTGAATAATACTTTTAATAACTCCACACCTCCTAATTTCCAGACTATGAATTCTCTGCATAATATTTACACCACACACTGCCCTTAAACAGGACATCTCCACTGTCTCCAGCCTCCTCCTTGCTGCAGCATTTACAACCCATGCTTCACACCCACATAAGTGTTGGTACCATGATACTCTTGTACATCCCCTTCTTTGCTTCCACGGATAACATTTTTTGTCTCCACAGATACCTCAATGTACCACTCACCTTTTTACCTTCATCAATTCTATGGTTAGCCTCATCCTTCATAAACCCATTTGCTGACAAGTTAACTCCCAAATATCTGAAGACCAGGACTGTTACTGTTCTTAATATATGTGAAGGACCTACTCGAGCAAACTGCATCCTGTGTGTCACTCTTTGTGGCTAATACAAAACTATTGATAAGGATAAGAACAATAGAGAACAGTGATTAACTTCAGAGACCTGAACAGATTACAAATGTAGCCAAATAATTGACTTCTTCAATTCAAGTGGAACAAATGCAAAATCATGCAAAATGGAGGTGAAGGCAGACTGAACAGAATACAAAATGGGTAGAAAAAAGCTGCAAATAGTGAAAAGAATGGGGAGGGGGTAAATATAACATGTGTTTTGCCAAAAATACACAAACTATGTCAGCAGCACATGCAAAATTTCTAAACCTCAGACGAGCATTCAGAAACCTGAATAAAGAATCCTTCAGAACCTTGTATAACATACGGTGGGCCAATTATTGAGTGCATGGTCCAGGCATGGAGCCCACACTCAATCAAGCACATGAAGCTCAAAAATCAGGCTAGTACTAGAATGAAGAATGCACCATGAGGAAAGGTTGAAGGAACTGAACATGATGACGTTGACAGGGAAACAAGGGGCATCATGATTATGACAGAATTTTTTTTAAAAGGAACTGATAGGGCAGATGGGGACAGATTAAATTAACTAGACCAATATCAAGAGGACAGAGGTGGAAACTGCAAACACAGATAAGTAACAGGGATGTAAGTAGTATTTCTTTAGTCTCAAAACAGCTGAAAAGTGAAACAATTTGAATGAGGCTGTAGGCAAACAATACACTTCAAGAAAAGGTATAAGACCCTAAAGGCCAGAAATCAATGATACCAATCAGGGTGACCAAGGAGTAAGGGCCAGGAGCAGTCTCAACCCCCACCAACACAACTCAGAGAGGGTGCATATACCTGCTCCTGTGCATGCCAGGAGATGTGACTCGACCCCTGCAACCACATACAGGTGAAAGCATGCATGTACTCTCCATCACTCACAATGCTTGGATTGGGTATAATGCCTACCATATCACCAGGGTCACGCATCAACTGAGTAACCTCTGTAGCCAATGCTTGTCTGGGAAATCTTAAGTGGCCTTCAGAAATCTCAACAAAGAATCATTTAGGGTGCTTTATACAAAATATGGTATGGACCCCACACCTGATGAAGCATAAAAAGAAATGGAGAAAGTGTAGAAGTATGCAGCAAGACTAGTTCCAGAACTAAGGGGTAAGAGGTACAAAGAAAGGCTAAAAGGATTGAATCTAATGACTCTAAGAGGACATAAGGACCTGGGGAGATATAACAACATACAAAATACTCAGAGGAACTGATAGGGCAGACAGGGACAGGCAGTTTGAGAAACACAAAGCAAGTTCTCAGGGGCAGAGCAGGAAGCTAAAGACACAGGAGTCACGAGAATGTCAGAAATTATTTCTTTGATCTGAGGATGGCTGGAAAATTGAATGATGATGAAGTGGTGGAGGCAGACTTCATACATAATTTTAAGACTAGGTACAATAAGGCTCACTAGGTTAGGAGAGTGAATCTGGCAAGCAGCGAGTTGAGAGGTAGGGCCAGGAGCTAAGATTCAACAATGCTCTATGTGATCAGTGTAATTTTCAAAATGTCTTGATTCTTAGTACATGGATAACCTGAGCTCAGTGTAGTTGCAATGAACTTAGAACACATCTACTGCACATAAAAAAAAGTGACACTTGTACTTGTTTCCAGCTGGGTTTTTTTTTTTTTTTTTTGTAAGCTCTGATATTTAATTTTTTTTTTTTAACTCTGATTTACTACTCCTGCAGTACTTAATAATCAAGATGTGTGCTCTACCCCCCAAAAAATAAGAAACTCACATTTAACTTTTTTTTTTTAAAAAGCAAATGATAACTGTGGCCTACCAAACATGACAGATCACAAGACCTATTATGATAGCTGTCAGTACCACTACTGAAGTATGATTAACATATGAAAAATGCTAAATCTCTAACAACCCTTCAATCATTATATTAAAAACAAACACAAAACCCATACAAGCCATTCAATGCTTACTCAAGAACGAAACTCTTGGATTTCCTTCTAACACCTCATGTGTGATGCTAAGACGTGTATGAAATGGTTGCCATGTACTCATGTTAAACCCCTTTTGGAACCCAGTTCCTAAGCCTTCTGTTTATCTATATGCTCTTGTGCTACCATCCACAGGACGGATATGGGGTGCACAATAAACTGGTAGCTTCGGTGTTAATATATTTTTGGTTGCCATGCATACCCTGAGGCTGGTGAGTTCTTGGTAAAGACCAGTTTGGTATGGCAAGGCCCAGCCAGTTTGGTGCCAGCAAAAGGAGGGTCAACCCATTAAAGTTTACTACTGCCACTGCCATTCCAAACATAGGGTCAGGAAACACTAGACAGATTCTCCATCACCATGTGAATATTACACTAAGATGGGAGTGTTGTCAAGAATTAAAACTAACCTGGCTGGCTATGACTGCAGTGACCAAGAACACTGCTCTTACAAACTAGCACAGTATGTGCAGTATGGAAACATTATTGAAGCAATCAGGATAAGCATGACACCAAAACAAGCTTTAAAGGGCCTTATAACTGGTATACCAAGAAAACAATCAGCTTCATTCAGGGACAGACATTTATTTGTGTGATGTACAAGACATTTACAATATTTACATCAGTCTTAAATTCCTTTTGTTTCATTAGTTATTAGCTTTCCAGGGGATAAAAAAATCCTGTTTGTCTGTAATGATACTCTCAGAGCACCATTAACTTTGCAATACTGAAAAATAGAAAAATAAATAAAGTGTAAAAACCATAACACCAAGTAGGAACCAACAAAGCTCACAATCCTCCACCATTCTGAACAGTAATTTGGGTTGGGACATTGGTCTTTAGAGTCCCAGCTACATCCTCAAGAGTGTTCCCTTTATCTGCTTCTACTTGTGTTCCGTCAATAGTATTAGAATCCCCTGAATCCCCAACAACATCTACGTCCATGTCCTCCCCATCCCCCCTCCCTAGCTCCCCATTCACAGCCTGACCACTATTATTCCTACTTCTGTCTTCACTTAGGGAAGGAGAATCCGACCCATCTGAAGTTGGAATGGCTAAACCCTGATCCCTGAAGTTGGCCAACTGCTTTCTGCTGAAAGGCATTGGTCGTTCTCCAGGTAATACAGGATTGACATCTAATGTCCAAAGATTAATTTTAACACGTCCACGGGACCTTGTACGTGGACTGTCCTCTGATACTTTACTAAATACAACTCTAGATGAAGGACCTTTGGAACATGAATTTGAAAGTGTTTCACTACCTGCTCCATCCACAGCATTAGTCTCATTATTGTACTTTAATTTTTTCTCTGATGGCTTAAATATTTCATCACCACTGCTTATATCATCTGAGTCAGATATTTGCTCATCCTCACTGTCATCATCCAGGTCTCTGTCAGAATCTGTTGTACTCTCATTAGATGACCTATATTTTTCTTGTCCTTTATATACTTTACGTGGTCGACCCACCCGGCCTCTTCTTTGATTTGAGGCAGGTGGTCGACCCCTACCTCTCCCTTTCTTCTTCTTGATATTGACCTGATTGTGTGCATCTGCTGATGAGTAGGTAAGAAGATCTTCATCTGAATTATGTGCTAATCGCTCCTCCTCCTCCTTCAGGGCTTGCAGACGTCCCAGTTCCCACTCCTTCTTTTGTTGTTCTATCTCTGCAGCCATTCGCTCTGCTTCTGCTGCCCAGCCATCGTCCGAAGATTCTAGGAACTTCATTGCATATTTCTCTACTGGTGATAGCTGAATAAAACAAGAACACAATTTTCTTTTACTACTTCTTTATAAACTAAGCACAGTTTGAAAGTATATCAATATATTTTTCATAAAAAATTTAGTTTTACTGACAAAAATCAGTCATGGATCAATGCTGCATTTAATATATATGTGAAAAATTATGCAAATATGTAAGAAAAGCATTAAATACAGTATAATAATTCATCTGCACAAATATAAAACTTCTATAAAGTAAATACAAAAACTGGAAAATTAGAATTAATGATGAAAATGAAATCAGAGGCACTGGACAGACTAAATCTGAAATACAATTTTGCCATATCAACCAGGCTGTGATGGATATGTGGGGCAGTGGGCCTCCAGCAGCAACAGCCTGGTTGACCAGGCAAGCACTAGACGAGCCTGGCCCACGGCCGGGCTCAGAGAGTAGTCAAACTCTCGGAGCTCTTCACAGGCATATCAAAGGTATGTATACAATTACCAGTTAGTAGGTACAAAAAGCAGAGCATTGTTCATGATTTCCAGTGGCTGTAGACCACTTTTTTTAAATACAGTTCCAGAGTTAACCCTTAAACGGTCCAAACGTATATATACGTTTTTTCAACATCCGAAAGCATGTAAAAAAAAGTAGATCTTTTTCGTTTTACATTTGAAAACATGTAAAAAAACTTTTATCTACATTTCTTTTTGTTATATTTGAAAATATGTAAAAAAAAGTAGATCTACTTTTGTAGCAATACGAATTTGAACGTCGATCTGTTTGGACCGTTTAAGGTTGAAAAAAAAAAAAAACTCAGATTGCAATAACTGCAGTTTTATGTTCTTCCTTTTGATGGTGAAGAAAAACTCTCAGGGAGGCCAGGCAAGAGAATGTAAATACACCACTATACGTATTTCATTAAGGGTCTCTAGGTAATCATTATTTTACACTGAGGTTATTTAATCCTCTGACTGTTGTAACCCCAAATCCGTAAGTGTCTCGTTGTGTCGAAAAATTTTGGAAAAAAAAAAAAATTACTATTTTTTCTTATGAAATGATAGAGGATCTTTTCCTGATGGTAATGACACCAAAAGTACGAAATTGATAAAAAACTTGCGGAATTACACTCCCGTAAAGTTAGTGATCTCGGCAATACATACGCATCGGCGATTTCGCTGACTTTGAGTCCTATGTATGGCCAATTCCATTATTCCAGTTGACTAAACTCATAGCTATTTCTTTAGAACTCCATTTTTTCTATCAACTGAGTAGAAGAAACCACCCATTTACCAATTTCAACTACCCAATAAAGTGGTCAGAAAATGGCAATTTCACGCAAATTAAAAAAGATGCCAATTTCAAAATAGGGTCCAGAATAAACAATGAAAACATTCTTGGCACTAAAATAACATATCCTCTGTTCATTAGTCATGTCTCCAGGCCCCTCTTATATTACTCTTCCTTTCTATTTTGATTTTTATTCACACAAAAAATAGAAGATTTACTGTTATGCAGACTACTGCATTATTGTAAAATGATATAAATAATATCAGTGCACTAGTGAAAGAATATCAGATTCCCAAGTTGATGTGTATTGGATGTGTGGTATGATTTGCTTACTCTTGACCGTTGGTAAAAATGGAACATTTCCGCTACTTTGAGCTCAATTTCAAAGTCGTTTTCATTGTGAAACTAATCAAAATCATCTCTATTTCTGTAATATGGTTTCCATTCTATCAAATGAGACCAAGAAAACGAGAATACAACTATAAATGCTATAGGAAAATACACCTCAAAGTCGGTGTTTTAATCCATAAAAACGATCAGAGTTTTTTTCTCTCATTATGACTGCGAGCTGCAGGACATTTTTTTTATACAGTGCACACTGACCCATTCTCTCACATGTGGGCCTACCAGCTTTCTCTATTGAGTATTTATACGTCCGAAACACTGGCTCATAAGACGTATATATACAGCCGAAACAGTCAAAGGGTTAATGAGGACAAGTTTTAAAAAAATTTTTTAAAAAAAAAATTTTAAATTTTTCCCCCCCCTTTTTTTTTTTTTTTTTTTTTTTTTTTTAAAAAATTTTTTTTCCCCCCCAAATTTAAAAAACCAAGATTTTTCCCCCCCCCAAAAAAAGAAAAAAAAAAATTTTTTTTTAAAAAAAAAATTTTTTAAAAAAACAAAAAAAACCATTTTTTTAAAGGAAAAAATTTTGGGTTTTTTAAAAAAATTTTTTAAAAACCCTTAAAATTTTTTAAAAAAAAAAAAACCCCCCCTTTTAACCCCCCCAAAAAAAAATTTTTTTTTCCCCCCCCGGGAAAGGGGTTTAAAAATTTTTTTTAAAGGGGGGGGGCCCCCCCCTTTTTTTTTTTTTTCCCCCCCCGGGGTTAGGGGGGCCCAAACCGGTTTTTTTTTAAAAAAATTTTTTTAAAAGCCCCCCGGGGGGGCCCCAAAAATTTTAAAAAAAGGGCCCGGGTTTTTCCCCCAAAAAAAAAAAAATTTTTTTTTAAAATTAAAACCCCCCAAAAAATTTCCCAAGGGGGGCCCCCCCCAAAAAAAATTAAAGGGGGTTTTTTAAAAAAAAAAAAAACCCCCCCAAAAAAGGGTTTTTTAAAAAAAAAAAAAAAAAATTTTAACCTTTTTAAAATTTTTTGGGAAAAAGCCCCAAAAAAAATTTTAAAGGGCCTTTTTTTTTTTTTTAAAAAAAATTTTTTCCAAAAAAAAAAAATTTTTTTTTTCCAAAACCCCTTTTAACCCCTTAAATTTTTTTTAAAAATTAAAAAAAAAAGGGGAAAAAAAAAAAAAAAAAAAAAACCCCCCCCCCTTTTTAAAAAATTTTTTAAAAAAAAGGGGTTTTTAAAAAAACCCCCCAAAAAAAAACCCCCCCCCTTTTTTTTTGGGGGGGTTTAAAATTTTTTAAAAAAAACCTACCCCCCTTTTTTCCCCCCCCCCCTTTTCCCTTTTTTTTTAAAATTTTTTTTTCCCCTTAAAAAAAAACCCCCCCCTTTTTTTTTCCCCCCCCCTTCCCCCGGGGTTTTTTTTTTTTTTTTTGGGGGGGGGTTTTTAAAAAAAAAAGGAAAAAAAATTTTTAAACCCCCCCCCTTTTTTTGGGGGAAAAGGGGGTTTTTTTAAAAAAAAATTTAAAAATTTTAAAAATTTTTTTTTCCCCCCCCCCCGGGGGGGCCCTTTATTTTTTTTTTTTCCCAAAAAAATTTTTTTGGCCCCCTTTTTAAATTTTTAAAATTTTTTCCCCCCCTTTTTTCTTTTGGCCTTTTTTTTCTTTTTTAAAAAATTTTCCTTTTTTTTTTTTGGGTTTTTTTTCCCCCCCCTTTTCCATTTTTTTTTGGGGGGGTTTTTTTCCTTTTTCCTTTTTTTTTCCCTTTTTTTCCCCCCCCCCCTTTTTGTTTGGGGGGGGCCCCCCCTTTTTTTTCTTTTTTTTTCCCCCCTTTGGGGCCCTTTTAAAAAATTTTTTTTTTTTTAAACCTTCCCTCTTTTCCCCCCCGGGGGGGGGGGGGGGGCCCCCCCCTTTTTTTCTTTTTTTTTTAAAAAAAAAAAGGGCCCCCCCCCCTTTTAAAGGGGGGAAAGGGGGGGAAAAGGGAAAGGGGGGAAAAAAAAAACCAAAAAAAAATTTTTAAAAAAGAAAGGGGGGAAAAAATTTTTTAAAAAAAAAGGGGTTTTAAAAAAAAAAATTTCTGGCCCCAAAAATTTAAAAAAAAAAAAATTTTAAAAAAAAAAATAAAGAAAAATTAAAAAAAATTAAATTTTAAAAAAAAAAAAATTTTTTAAAAATTAAAAAAAAAAAAAAATTTAAAAAAAAAAAAATTTTTAAAAAAAGGGGGGAAAAAAATCAAAAAAAATTTTTTTCCCCTTCCCCGGCAAAAGGTTTGGGGGAAAAGGGAAACCGGAAAAGGGGGGGGGGGGGCCCCGGGGGGCCCCCCTTTTTTTTCCCTTTAAAATTAAAAAAAGGGGGGGGGAAAAAAAAATTTTTTAAAAAAAAGGGGGTTTTTTTTGGGGGGAAAAAAAAAACCCCCTTTTTTTTAAAAAATTCCAAAATTTTAAAAAAAGGGTTTTTTTTAAAAAAAAAAAGGGTTTTTTTGGGGGGTTTTTTTTTTTTTTAAAAAAAAAAAAAAAAAATTTTTTAATTTTTTTTTTTAAAAAAAATTTTTTTTAAAAAAAAAAAAAAAAAAAAAAAAAAAAAAAAAGGGGGGGGGGGGGGGGGGGGGGAAAAAAAATTTGTTTTTTTTTGGGGGGGGAAAAATTTTTTTGGGGGGGGGGAAAAAAAAACCCCAAAGGTTTTAAAAACCCAAAAAATTTTTTTAAAGGGTTTAAAACCCTTTTTTTTAAAAAATTTTTTTTTGTAAAAAAAAAAAAATTTTTTTTTTTTTTTAAAAAAAAAAAACTTTTTTTTTTAAAAAAAGGCCTTTTGTTTAAAAAAAAAAAACCCCCTTAAAAAAATTGGGCCCCCTTTTTTTGATTGGCTTTTAATCCTTTTGGGATTTTTTTTCCGGGTTTTTTTTTCCTTTTTTTAAAAAAAAACCCCAAAAATTTTTCCAAAAAAAAATTAGAAAAAAAACCCCCAAAAAAAAAAAAACCCCCAAAAAGGGGGGGAAAATTTTTTTTTAAAAAAAAAAAAAAAAATTTTGGGGGAAAAAAAAACCCCCTTTTTTTTAAAATTCCCCCCGGGGGGGGTTTTGGGCCCGTTTTTTTCCCCAAAAATTTTTTTTTTTAAAAAAAGTTATTTTAAAAAAATTTTTTAAATTGGAAAAAATATAAAATTTTGTTTTAAAAAAAAAATTTTTTTCCCTTTTTTGGGGGGAAAAAAGGGGTTTTCCCCCCCAAAAAAAAAAATTTTTTTTTTTTTTTTTCCCCCCCCTTTTTTTTAAAATTTTAAATTTTTTTTTAAAAAAAAAAAACAATTAAAAAAAAAAAAAAACCCAAAAAATTTTTTAAAAAAAAAAAAAGGGGTTTTTTTTTTAAAAAAAAAAACCCGGGGTTTTTTTTTTTTTTTAAAAAAATTTTT